AGTGTCGACCTAAGATATGCAACTTCAGCTACATGAATAGCATAGCTAAAGTTGCGTATTTTAGGTCGACTTACCTGGCTGCGAGTCGACCGCTGCCGCGCCGCCGTCGACTCCACTTCCGCCTCTTGCCGCGGTGGATTTTCGGAGTTGACGGCAGAGAGATCAGGGATCGATTTTATCGCGTCTTCGCTAGACGCGATAAGTCGATCCCCAATAGATCGATTGCTACCCGCCGATCCGGCGGGTAGTGAAGACGTGCCCTGAGTACTGGTAACCATAATCAATTTCCCGTTTTGCTCTTCTTTTTTCGTGACTGAACATAGTCACGTCTCAGAGCCGCACTCCTGATCACAGAACTATCATTTTAGTCTGTGCAGTACATTCCATCAGCAATGGAAGAGGGAATGTCAAAGTCAATATACTAAGACGCAGACTGGGGCCTAGGCTAGGGGCCTAGGCTAGGGGCCTAAGTGGCAGTAGGAGTGCCCCATCCCCACGTGTCTGAGTGCCTGCCCTGGACCTTGGGCTCAGAGGCAAGTGGCAGCTGAGCACCTGCTACTCTCTCCTCAAGCAAGTGGGTAGGAAGAGGTGGAGAGGGAGCAGAGATTCGGCTCTGTCATTCTTGAATGCGCTGGCCAGCATGAGGTGTGGGGGCAGTAATTTGCTACTGGTACAGGTCTGTAGCAAATTACTATCCCCCACTGGGGCAAGGAAAGAGCAGGGAAAGAGAAATCCTTTTGCAGGGTAATTCTGGGGTGACACAGCTATGCACTGCCCCTTACACAGGGTCAGTATATTGCACAATCTAGCCCTAAATCATGTCAAAGTTGCAGCAAAAAACTCCAGACCTTTGATAATGCAATGTATTGTTACAGGGAGAACCTGGAGCACCCGGAGAACAGGGGCCTGTTGGTCCAAGGGTAGGTGCTACTTCACTGACTAATAAAGGGGCTTCATTCATGAAAATATAAGAAATTTTAGAAAGAGCAGAAGACTACTTGTCCCATTTAAATGGCTTCCAGACTGTTTTGCTAGTGTCTTACCAAACTCCTTTAGCACGATTAACTGGGTTTATAGCTGGTTTGTATTGCCATAGCAGGGAAAAGCAGCTAGCGCATACTGATGCATCTGACCCACAGAACCTAAGAGCAACCAGTTTAGCAACACTCTTTGTACTACATGCTGGAGTCTTCCCACCATAAGCACTTCCCCACAGCTGTATTTATCAATCGCTCCTTGAATGGTTTTAACTTAGAAGAATTCAGACAACTCAATTTTGCATGGGAACACCAAGTCCTGACTGGAGATCTGGTTCATTTTATAGGGTCCCAAAGGGGAGCCAGGAAAGGATGAAATGGTGGATTATGATGGTAACATCAACGAAGCTCTACAGGTGAGAAACTAGCCTACACGGCTCAGGAGCCATGTTCAGTGACTTCTGGAGTGGATTGTTTGGTTGTTTTCCATGTGAAGCTTTCTCTCAGTCAGATTGGTTCATTCTCCCTTTGCTTTGTAGTGACAGAGAGATCCCCAGGACTACACTTTTAGTAGCCTAGGTGATGGAAGAAGGGTGGGGCCAGGGGACGAGAATGTCCCCTTGGAAAGACAGAAAATTTAAGAACGTTGATCTCACATTTCATTTTGGATGGATAAAACTAAGCATGTCAGTCCAGCCCAACATACTTCTTCTTCCATACTAATAGCAATGAATAATGCTTATTACTTACACAGTGCAAGTCCTTTACAATGACACAGGACACATTCTTAATAAAGAAAGACCCAGAGTTCATCTGAACAACCTCATAAGACTAGCCCAGAACATACATATTAGATTGTTTAGAAAAAGGCCATAAACCATGCAGGGAAATGTCTTTCACTCTAGACTAGTCATGCACCTACCAGTGGAAGATTACCCACAACTTCTACCATCCAGCCTTCCCGGCAGCCCCTCAGTGCTCCCAGCACAGGAGGAGTACATTTCTGGAATACTATTACAAAGGGAGCTGGGGCTACTTTTCTGCTTATTTTAATTTCATGCCTGTAATATACTCCCTGCCCGTCTTAACCAGTATAGTGTTAAAAGAGAAAAAAAACCACAAACACTGTGGTCAGAAATAGTTTAATTTCAAGTGGGACTTTTATTTGTATTTATTTATTTATTTTATTTTTAGGAAATACGAACCTTGGCCCTGATGGTGAGTTCTTACTCTTCTCGCTGTGCATTTTGGTTTTTTTTGAAGAAGTAACTGGATTTTAGTAACAGCTAGAGGAAAGTAGGCAGTGATACAGACTGACAAACTTTTAATTCCATGCCATAAGAATGCCTGACCTTTACAGTTATGTGCTGACACTAAAAAGCAGCATTGACAGCTAAAAGAAGGACACTTCTTGTGTTATACTCCTGAGGCTCTTATATTATTAGTACTATTTGTTTACCTGCTTTTTAAAGGTTATGCTGCTGTTCAGGCGCTCAGACAGCAGAGAGGATCAAAGTAAGGAAAGCCCAGTGCAGGTCAGGATGGGCCTAAGTAGTGCTGTTTTCATGGCCAATGAAAGTCTCCTCTCTTAAGCATGTCCTTCCCTAATACCAGCGATGTATGATAGCCCAGCATTGTTTCTCTGGGAGATAGCCATCAATATTAATCCCACTTGAGGGAGCAATTTAAAATGGGATGAAGAACTAGGTCCATTATCAGACACATATCGGTGACCTTTAATATGTAGCAAACAGATACTATGATGATGTGCACATTAGGAACTTGCATATCAGCCAATGTTTCCAAAAGTGACTTCTTATTTTGGGGGCTTCCATTTTTGAGTGCCCACCTTTATGACAACATGCATGTCTTAAGCTGGGTACCGAAAAATTGAGGCACTTTTGAAAATTACAGGTAAATAAATCATTTCTACCATTGCTAAATTTGTGATACTTTGTCACTTAATTAAATTTAACCTACACTGGAGAACTCAGAAATATAGAATTTTCCTGCTATCTGTGTTCTCTATTTGGATACCAGATTTCTACAAGCAGAATGTATTTATTATCAATAGCAAATAATTATTTAAATTCACTTCATTATCAGAAGCAGATAATCAATAATGCCATTTTCATGGTAATTATTTTTCGTTCATCAAGTGGAGAAATAAATCTATGGTCATATTTGACTTTGAATTGCTACTGTTGGTTATTCAGTAGCCCACTGTTAGTTATTCATTTTCCAAGTTAATATATTTCAGGATTGCCAGTGCAAAAATGTAAAGAAAATACAATTCTGCGTTCCCTCCAATATGAGGAGGTTTTGGAAAAAAAAAGTCATTTGCGTATTTTTCTTATTTAGGGACCTCCTGGACTTCCAGGAGTAGCTGGGCCCCCAGGGCTACCAGGCCAGAAGGTATCACTTTCCTTTTGTCATTCATGAAAAGATAACTAGAAATGCATGAGAATCAAAGGCTGGAATACTGATGCTATTATGCTCTTTGTCCACCTGCATCACCCATGACATTCTGCAATCCTCCTCCTTTCACTTTGCACATGCTCTGTTATCATTTCTTTGCCTTCTCCATATCTCGCATTCCTCCCACAATGACCAGGCATGACCTTGGCTCAAGGAAGGAGAATGCTTTCTTACTCCCACTGTCCTTCAAACAACTGCATATTAGAGTTAATCTCAGTGCATGGTTACAGTGTAGTCCAGGCCATGAACTGCCAATCAGCATAAACAACTATAGTGGAGTTAATCACCCTTAAAATTCTGACATTGTTTTGAGCCCTGTCTCTTAAGCATTTGCAGCCTTTCGTTTTGTGGTTATTGGTAATGAGTAACTAGCTCTCCCAGAGAGAATCATTGCTGTTGACTGTTTCCATAGCACAAGCCCCATCTTCCAGTTTCCAAGCCCCATGTAAAAATAGGCAAAATAACAATTTAAAAAAATGATCTACGATGATTTTGCACTTTAGGGTGAAATTGGATTACCGGGTCCTCCTGGACACGATGGCGAGAAGGTAAGATGAGGGATGCCATGTGTAGATGTTTTCCCCGTGATTGATTGAGTGTTTACACTAAAAACCAACAACAACAATCATTTTCACTCTGCAAAAACGAAAATTTAAAGAAAAAAAATCAGGAATGTGACAGCAAAATTCATCAGATGGTTATAAGAAGACCATGCAATACCCAATATTAAAATAAAATCAGCAGATTTGAAGATACTGCTTATAATCTTGGACTTTTATTCACTACTTCATACAATGTTCTTTCACCCCAAAAATGTTGATAAAGGAAAACTGCAAATTTCACATTACTTGTCCATGGACAAGAGGAGAATATTGTCTAATGACATCTACTCATGTGCTAAGCACTACCTCTATGTAAACCACCATGCTGTATCTTGTAATAGAGCGAGAGGGACTAAATCTCATCTACACTGAGCCTCCCGCCCCCATATTCCTCTGTGATTTACATTCGCTTACACTCACTGTAAGGCTCCGTTACACTGCCTGAGCGGTGTAACGGAGCGTCGTGAATGAGAGTCAGGCCCAGAGACTCGAGTGAACTAAGCCCCATACTTTGATTTCTTTCCCTAACTGTAGAAGTATTATTTTTAAATCGTGTGGATATCTTTTTAGGGGCCACGAGGTAAATCAGGAGAGGTGGGTCCTCCTGGTCCCCAAGGGCCCCCAGGAAAGGAGGGACCTCCAGGAGTGAAGGGAGAGACTGGACTTACCGGGACCCCAGGAGCAAAGGGGGAAAAGGGGGAGGCAGGAGAAGCTGGCTCTCCGGTGAGTAAATACCACACATCATAGCAGTGAGTTGTGTTTGCAAACTGTCACGGCAAAGATGGACATGAACCAAAAGCCTGGGTGCAAATAGTCCCAGATGCTGAGGGCCTTGAAAGTGAACTTTAGGAACAGGGACCCTCCTTAGTGTACAGTGCATGTACATGTAGAAGTAATCACATCAGTCTTTCAGTGTTGAAATCCCTGGCTGCTCTCTGAGTGACGCATCCTAATTGTTTCTCTGAATAAAGTAATAGTGGATTAATCACGCTTTACAGAATAAAAGACACTGTGTCTCTTATGTATTTCCACAAGGTTGTTAATAATTGACTATTGCTCTCAGTCCCATAAGAATTAGTTGTTAGGACGAGATTTTGGCACTAATCCAGGAACAACCTAAGCATGAGCATAACTTTAAGCATGTGGGTATTCCCACTGACTTCACATGGAGCAATGAAGCACTTCACAACTGCAAAACCAGGCAGCAAAACATTTAAACATGTGCATGTTTTCACGCACAAGTAACCCTCTGATTTCAAGTGGAGTGAAGTGGAGAACATTAACATCACCCATGCTGCTCAAGGAATTTTTCAAATTTCAGTTTAATGTTATGTCTATCTTTTATTTGCATGATTTACTATTGCAAGAAACAAAAGTCTTTCTTGATCTGTAGGGTCTTGATGGCCCAACTGGGGAGAAAGGAGAACAAGGTGACCAAGGGATACCAGGACCTTCAGGATTACCGGGTCTAATTGGACTTCCAGGATTGACAGTAAGAGTGCAAAAGAAAGAATGAATTTTCAAGTTGGGTTAAGCAGAGGACAGAGCAAGCACCAAAACTCTGAGGGTAACATGTTCAAAAGGGTTTACATAATTTAGGAGCCTTAGATCCATTTTCAAAAGTGACTTAGGGATATAGGATCCTAAATCTCAATGAGAGTTGATAGGACTTTACCCTTAAATTGCTTTGCACTTTTGAAAAATTTACCCTGCATACTGGTGAAATAATAGTAGATCCTAGCTATACTCTTCATACCGCAACTCTAGGATTTAAGGGAATAATCCCTAAACTGAAAATCCATCCTGGGACACCACTTTCAGGGACCTGAACCTTCACACGCTGTATAATATTGGCACAGGTGTTCAGGGAAGCAGAAAGGGATGCAGATGAACCATGTTTGTAAATAAATGCTAAGTTCTCTTTCCTCCTTGAAGGGATTGCTATTTCTAAACTTGTGGCTGTTTCATAGCTGGCTGTTGGTGGAGCTAGACTCTCACTGGTGCTTCTATTTACATAAAAAGAACAAGGAGTAATTGTGGCACCTTAGAGACTAACAAATTTATTTGAGTATAAGCTTTCGTGGGCTGAAGCACACTTCATCAGATGCATGCAGTGGGAAATACAGTAGGAAGATTGTATATATATATACACATATACATACACACACATACATACAGAGAACATGAAAAAATTGGTGTAATTGATTACGGTGGGCTATTATCAGCAGGAGAAAAAAACTTTTGTAGTGATAATCAGGATGGCCCATTTCTAACAGTTGACAAGAAGGTGTTAGTAAACTAAAAACTATTTCCCAATGTTAATTTTCCCCCTACTGTTACTCACACCTTCTTGTCAACTATTTGAAATGGCCATCCTGATTACCACTACAAAAGTTTTTTTTCTGCTGCTGCTAATAGCCCACCTTAATCAATTAGTCTCATTAGAGTTGTATGGCAACACCCATTTTTTCATGTTCTCTGTGTATATATAGCTTCCCACTGTATTTTCCACTGCATGCATCTGATGAAGTGGGCTTTAGCCCACAAAAGCTTATGCTCAAATACATTTGTTAGTCTCTAAGGTGCCACAATTACGCCTCGTTCTTTTTGCTGATACAGACTAACACGGCTACCACTCTGAAACCTGTTTACATAGTTATATTGTTGTGTTTACAGGGAGAGAAAGGAGAACCTGGTGAGGATGGGGAAAAAGGAGATCCAGGGGACTCAGTAAGTGTCTCTCTTCACTTTTTTCTGTACTATCAGAAGATGTACAGTTGAATCTTGTCACCAGTGCTTCTTGAAACTCTGCAGGTCTCACACCAGCCACCTTATCACTGACACGACAGCATTCTCATAGCCTTCATGAGCTTCTTGGAGTGGCAAATGCCATTTTCCATGTGATTTAATAACCAGCCTTCCACTGCTCCCAAATACCTTGTTTTCTGGAGACTGTGCCTTGTACTTTCGCAGAAGCATTTATTATGACAATTACTTTTTTACCTTGGTTTTAGGTATCGGGGCCACCCGGGCCCCAAGGCCCACCAGGTGTTGCAGTAAGTTCTGATTGATTACTTTGGGGGATGAGACTTAAGGAAATATTTGAATGAAGCTAGTGTAATGGCTGTATAGATTTTTGATGGAGCTTTTCTCGTGTATAAGAAGTGGTGTGGGAGATAGAGGTATCTGAGGGCGAAGCTCACAGGTTGGCAGTAAAGGTTGGAAATAACGGCAGCGTAAAGAGAGGAACTGACACAGCAGAAGGTTACTAATTTAGCAAGATAGCCATACCCTATGTTGTGATGGGCCTTAAAGTTAAAGGAAAGCGCTTGTGTTTGATGCAAAGGTGAACCGGGAACCACTAGAGAAATGTAATCAGAGTGACGAACCAGGAAAATCTTAGCAGCTGGCATGCACCACTGCCGGATTGTTTTATGATAGACTCTCTTCATTACCAAACCAGAGTACATGAAGTATATCCTAGTGTAAAAAATGATACCTTCCAAAACACTATGTATGCATGTAGTTGACAATGTCACATTAAGTATATATGAGCTCAGTATGCCAGAAGAGAAAGGTTGTATGCAGTATTGTTCTAACTATGTTGGTCCCAGGATATTAGAGAGAAAAGGTGGGTGAGGTAATATCTTTTATTGGATCAGCTCTGTCTAAGCTCAAAAGCTTGTCTCTCTCACCAACAGAAGTTGGTCCAATAAAAGATATTACCTCATCCACTTTGTCAGAAAAGCAAGTTATCACACTGCACATGAAACCAGGATACTGGGATTTAAAATCACAGTAACAAAATATTACCATTTCTTATCTCAACTGTAGGGTCTTCAAGGCCTTCCAGGACCGAAGGTAAGGCTATAAGCTGTTAAGTATTGATATTTTACTTGAGCTGGCTGGAGAATGACAATTCCATTTCACGACAAATTTTGAGGTTTAAAAATTTGTTTTTGTTCTGCACTGGAATGAAGATAAAACATTCAGACATTTTTGCAAAATAGAATTGTGTCAGAAACATCCATTTAAGGATTGAAAAGGTCAAGTTTTCAATTCAGGTCTCACTCTGTGACCTGAGAGGCAATCTTGGACTGCAGAAACCTTCCTGATGAAAACTTCACCAAACTAAATATGTCTCTGCAATACATTTTGGCTTTGACAAGACAGCATATTTCAACTAAAAAACATTTTATCAAAAATGTTCTGCCCAGCTCTACATTTTAGCTTTGATCCAGTAAGGTGGTTTAAATGACCTCTCAGTGAAGGTTGTAAGATGCTGATCTAAACATGGAAGTACCCACTTCTCCTGAGTAGTCTAGGTGTTTGGCTACCTGAGTTTACCGTCCTAATATATTCATGGTGCCAATTGGAATGGCGCTTTTACAGGACGCAGCACTTTTGGGACAGATGTCCTCACATTGCATACCAATTGGCTTTCAGAATTGGTACATTCTGTAAAAACCAGAGATGTTCATTCCTATTTTCCCCAAGTGTTGGGTACACATACAAATATAGAAATGTCAGTTGTTCAATAAACCACTAACCACTGCTACCACTCATCTGAAAAACCTTTGAAAGACCCAGGCCTGGTAGTTTGTGTGGATATATACCAAAAAGACCCAGACCAAAGAAATTCCTGAAGTTTTGGTTAGAGGTGAGGGAGGAAGGACCACACATGACCCTCCTCAAATTGCTCTGATACCTATTGGCCTGGTCCCAAAAGAAACAAGTCCAGAAAAAATTAGGTATGGAGTCTGATATTCCATCCCCTTAAGCTCCCTGATTCCTTATAGCACCTTCAGTCCTATGACAAGTTTGTAGTGACCAGGAAGAGAACTGGCTACCTTTTGGAAGCACATGTTAGAGGTAGGAAGTCTCTTCCAAGTACATACACTAAGCCAAATAGATCTGTTTCTGGGAGAATGGGCAATGATATCAATTTTTACCAAAAAAGAAATGCTTTCTCATGATTAAGGGAAAGGTGGCAAGTATGTGTTATATATACATACTAGAGCTGTGCAAGAACTGGAATTTGCATTTCTATGAGAGTTTTGCAATTTTGAAATTTCTTCCAGTCCAGAAAGGAATGAAAACAAAAAAATTGCAAAATTTCCTGTGAATCAAAATTCACATTAAAAATTGTTTCTGGTTGATCAAAACATTTTTTACAACATTGAAACATTTCATTCTGATTACAACTTCTTTCATTTGATATTTTATAGTATGAAATTAAAAAAAGATCCATCATTTAGAAGCAGAAAGCCAAAATGTTCCATTCCAAAAAGTTCAACGTAGAATATCACTTTAGTTCAATTTTAATTTCAAGATGAATCTTCATCAAAGGCAACACATTTCCATGAAACATGTCTGCCAGAAAATTTCTGACCAGTTCTATTATATACACTTACCTTCCACCTGCTTGTCATAGATCTACTTTCTCACTAATTTCTGAACACCAGAGGGAGGGTAATATATGAGCTCTGTTCCCTATAAATTCTGTAATGAGACATTGGCCGTGATTCTTGTCTTTCCTGCACTGGTGTAAATCAGGAGTAACCCTACTGAAGTCAATTGAGCTACAGTGTTGTTCTCCAGTATGAGAGGAAAACCAGGTCCACACTGTCCAAGGTTTCTTTGGCCTCTACTACACTATCTTTGGTGCAGCTATGCCTTTGGAATGGAGAAATGTTTGTTTTAGAAGTGGTGCCATGATGGGTTTATTTTCTGATCCATTCTTCCTTCAGGGGGAAGCAGGGATTGATGGAATGAAAGGAGAGAAGGGTGTCCAGGGTGAGAAAGGAGACCGAGGTCCACTGGGATTGCCCGTAAGTCTCCAGGAAGCAAGGAGAACTTGGGAAGCCATACATAGTCCAGTCTTAGAAAGATCCCAAAATAAGAGAGACAGATAAAGATTTGATTATCTAAAATTAGAGTTAGGGACAAAAAGCTGGCCTATGAGCAGCCGTGCCTATTGGGTTTTAGTGATGGACAAGCCTCAACTGTTTTGGGCAGTTGGTTGGGATCAGCATCTGAAACTGGAGAAGCTTATCCCTTGGATCTGTAAAATTGGACTAGGAATCTCATTAGAACAGGTTCCCTCAAGTTCCTTCTGCTTTCCTGGCTGAAAATACTGTATGAACAGCTTTTCTTCTGGTCTTTTGGCACTTCTGGTTTTGGTCCTGGCCTTGAAATGCTGAGATGTGCAAAAAATGAAGAGAAAACAGTTTGCTGAGCTGTTTTTAAACTGAAAAAAAAGGTTTTGTTCAAGCTTTGGGGTATTTTTAATTTATCCAATCCAGTTAATTTATCCCTGTCATTTTTGCAATAAAACTTGATGCCTTCCCAGAAGCAGTAAATATCCAATTAAGTTTCATTCTTTTCTTGTATATGTAGTAAGGATATTCTATTTCAACATATTCATGTTTAAACCAGTGTTACTGTGGTGCTCAGTTACATGTTATCAAGGAAGCGCTAATGCATTTCAGTAGAGTTAAGAATCAGAGTGTGATCGCTTTATATCAAAACCAAGGATTTTGTAAAGAAAAGGCACAGAGTTTTACCTATTCAGAAAAAAGCACTGAAGTGAAAGCACCAAAGTACACCTTTGCTGAACCTCACACTGCCTGGAAACATTCACTGCAAAGAGCTTGTTGTGCGCACCTGTGTGATTTGTTGTTATTGGCCTTTGTGTTATCACCCAGCTCCCTTGTCCAGATAGTTTTGGCTGAAAATTGCATGTCTTTGTTTATAACAATGGTGCCAAGATGTTTAAAGCAGTGATGTGCTAAGTGACTTCAAAAATGAGGATATGACATATGAAACTTGGTTGGGAAGCATGTTGCACAGATGGGCTGGCTCACACATTGCCTTGTCGGCTCCCCCATCTACAGTTCCTTATAATGCAATGCAAGTGGCAATAAATCAAGAAACAAACTTGCTCTCAGGGGAGTTATAAGAAAGCTGGAAAGCAGAAACCCTCGCAATATCACATTCACCCTCAAAAATATAACTGGCTAGTAAATGAACCACATAAAACTTAATTATTGAGCTATGCAGCCATTGACAATTAGCAAAATGTTTATTGAGATGTAGATGGATTTTATTTGCCATATTCAGAGGAAATAAGCTATATAGTCAGGACATATAAATACTCTCTTGTTAAGATATAAATGGCCTGATCCTGCAAGTTTTCAGAATGTAGACCCCTAAATGTGGTTGAAATAATTAATCATCTAATTAGCATTTATCGTGACAGAGATAGACTGTAGATAATGTGTTAGAAATCAATTGTTAAAGCAGCACAATCCCACCGAGCTCAAATAAGGGCAAAAAATTGGACCAGAATTTGGCCCACCGACTAAACATTTAGACCCAGACCCACAAAGGGATCCAGAGAGAGAGTGAGTGAGAATGCCTTGTGGTTAGGGCAGCCACCCGGGAGGTGAAACACTGAGGGCCCAGTCCCCTTGTTCCAATGACCCTTTAATTATTTATTCACAGAGGAACAGGTTCAATAGGAGAGACTGCAGGAGTCCCGCATCAGAATATCCCTTAGTTCAGTGATTAGCACACTCTCCTGAGAGGTTGGAGACATAGGTGCCGACTCCGTGGGTGCTCCGGGGCTGGAGCACCCACAGAGAAAAATTAGTGGGTGCTGAGCACCCACCAGCAGCTCCCTGTGGCCCTGCCCCCCCTGCTCCAGCTCACCTCCGCCCCCACCCCTGCCTCCTCCGCGAGTGCACAGCTGCGTCCTGCTTCTCCCCCCCCCCCCCAGAACTTGTGCCGTGAAACAGCTGTTTCGTGGGGTGGGGGGGAGGAGGAGGAATGTGGTGCGCAGGGGGAAGAGGCAGGGCTGGGGCGGGGATTTGGGGAAGGGATCCAATAGGGGCAGGGAGGGGGCGGAGACTTTGGGGAAGGGGTTGGAATGGGGGCGGGACAGCGCGAGCACCCACCAGCGCCGGAGAAAGTTGGCGCCTAGGATTTGACCAGGGGGTCTCCAACCATTTCTCCCACTCAGGCAGAAAGGGCAATTGAACCTGGATCTCTCACAACCCAGGTCAGTGCTCTGACCACTGGCTAAATATTGTAAGGTCACCACCACTAATAATACTAATTTTGAATGGGACCCAATCTGGTAGGCAGCCTCTGAGCATACCCACCGGATAGGGCCCCATGAGTGAGATTGGCTCCTCTGCTTGTCTTCCCCTGCTTTGTGGATTGCACGGGGGCTTGGGTGGGACACAGGTGTTCAGCCAGCTAGACTGAAACAGCAGTGCACATACCTAGAGACAAAAACATAGGCGCCAAGTGAGTTTAGGTGGCAGCTAAGCAGAAGTTTTGCAGACCACAGTGGAGCCTAAAAATGGGTCTAAGGCACCTAAGTACCTTTATGGAACTGGGCCTTAGATATTTAAAAAAACAGCTACTCTAGACAGTATTACAAATTAAAGCATTCACACTGCAATCAGGTGAATGAGATCAAAATTGAGAAATATTGTGTCACACTATCATGTACATGTCCTACACTTTTGATTACAAGATATCATATGTGTGTGCAAAAGTTCTCCTTGATCATTAACCCGCTGTTCCTGTCTGATAATTTAATGACCACCTAATATTAAACATATGTTAGAATAATACCAATGACTACACAGTGATCCTATAAACCCAACTGTCTACCAATGTAGGCATTTAGACCATCCTCATCACCATTGTATCTGGACACCTAAGTAATAAACCCAGGTGTATACTTCAGTGTAAGAGTCAGGCAGAGAAAGCTATCATTTAAATTAAGGATCAGCAGTGACCCTTCCAAAGTTGAAGGTAAAGCAAGATTCCCGATATAAATCTGATTTTCAGCCACTCCCAACAGCTGGCTTTACTCCCTTATCTGACTGGTAGACCATGCAGCTATCTCTATGTGAGGCATGAGCAGTTTTGAAAATGGAACGCACATCCCCACTTAACTGATACACACTTCTAGCTGGGAACTCCCTGAACAGTGGATGGCTCTCCAGAACCTATCAATATCTGGGTGGGGTTCCAGGCACCTCGATTCCACTCTAGTACCAGTGCTGTATTTCATTTCACCAATAATTCAATGCTGCAATGGCCAGCCTGACACTGTCATTACAAGGGTCTGCAGCTCCACTGTCACAATGCCCTTCTCCTTGCCTAGAACAGCACAAAGCAGCTTCTCCCTAGGGTGATCACTGAGTGGTACTTTGGTACAGAGTAAAAGGGAATGTTGCATTTTCAAAGGTATCTTAAAGGCACTAGCCAGTATTACGTGCATTCAGTGTGTCTATGTTTTCACTGGTTTCCATGTAAGTACCATCACCTGTCCTTGAGTTCTTATTTTTTGTTTTTGTTTATTGCGAGCATATGTTTGTCTCGAGTCACTGCTTCACTCACCTCTTCCCTCCCCCTTTCCTTTTTCTCCCCTCACCTCCCACTCCTTCCTGCCTTTTTTGTAAACCCTTTCCCATCTGTTCAGGGTGCTTCAGGTTTAGACGGCAGGCCTGGACCACCGGTGAGTTCCATTTCTCCATTACCCTACATTCCTCTTCCCTGGTACTGTGATGTGTCTTGTCCATCGCACTATGCCCTCATTTACATTATGAGTAGCTTTCTTCTCCTTGAAGATGGAGAGAATGTCAAAATGCTAAATTTAGATATTGTTACTGAGAGGTGAAAGATCGCCCTCTTGTCACTCTCAGTAATGTAATTCCATTTGGGACTAGGGGTTTTAGCCTCAATCACATCCTTTTAAACATTTTTTACTTTATTATTTATTATTATTATCAGGATTATATTAAATGATGCCTCAGCATGAACCCATTATGCCATGTACTTCTGTCCTCATATTGTGAACTGTCTCTGTCTTGTCTTTCCCCGTGGTAGCCTTGCTTACAGCATTGTGCAACAGCATCTCCTCAGACTTGTCTTAGACATAGTAACACCTCACTGTGTACTGTTTTCACACATACCATTTAGGACTGCATTGCAATGGGTTGCATGCGCAGCTCTTATTATAACCTTAAATGCACCTCTCCAGTAGGAGGAGAGGCATGTGAGAAACCTTCTGAAAAACAGCACGAGCCACCCCTTTGTGAGCACCAACACACCACACAATTTTCTGAGCTTCAGCAACTTCATAAATGCTTTTCTCAAGTCTCAAAAACCATTGATGGAAGTTTTAACTTGAATTTTATTCATCTGGGAGGCAGTGATGTCTAGTGGCTGAGCAGGAGGCTGAGAACCAAGACTGCTAGGTTCTATCCCTCACTCTGTCATTAACTCACTGTGAGTCCTGGGGCAAGTCAGATAACCTCTCTGTGCCTAAGTTTTCCTAAAGTTGTAAAATTAGAACAAAAATAATGACGCTAACCCAATTTTATAAAGCACTTTTGATCCTTGGATGAAAATAACTAAGGGCAAAGTATTATTATTTCTTCATAGGATGCTATATAGCCTCCAAATACAGTCAGATTTGACTTTTTCAGAGGTACTTTGATTTCCCCTTTTTCAGTGGAACAGGAATTACCGTAATTTCATTGCCCCATAACTCCCCCAAAACAGAAATTGAATGACAACTTCTAATTTGCATATTTGTTTCAAGAAATTGTATATTTACTTTTACAAATCTTCTAGATATTCCCTATCTTAAAATGGAGAAAATGTATAGGTAGTTAAAATTCCCATGGTGCACTTACGGTCCCTGCATGAGTCCAGGGAATGATTTTTTTCCCTCCTTTACACTGAAGTGGTGTGTGTGTGTCATGATGAATTACTTCTCCAGGCAGTTCCTGCAAATTCTTACAGGTACAAATAGTCCTCCTTACTCACACGAGTCATCCTACAGAAGTCAGTGGGACTCCTGTTGTGAGTAAGGATTGCAGGATCCAACCTCTCATGATTAAACTTCCACTTCCTTTTCCTTCAATTAAAAGGATAAGCTACTGTAAAAGGTCCAGAAGGTCTCCCTTTTACATTCCTGACAGAGGTTGTTTTCCTTTCTAGCAGTTCATGAAAGAATTAAAATATTGGAAGTTGGATGGATAGCTAGTTTTTCACTAGTCCAACATAATATGATCTGATTTGGCATAGAGTTAAAAAGGTAAATGCATAAATATGTTCTGTTTAGGAAAGTGCTTTGAAATCTCCTAATCCTTTACTTAGATTTTAAAATGGCAGCCTGGAGAATGTTAGATACTGTGGCAGAGAACACTCATATGACCTAAGGTTGCCAACCCTCCAGGACTTTCCTGGAGTCTCCAGGAATTAATCTTTAATTAAAGATTAATTCTTATGTCATGCGGCGAAACCTCCAGGAATATGTCCAACCAAATTGGCAACCCTAGTTATGACATGTGGTATAGGAGTCCACAAAAGGCTGAATCCAGATTCAAATGAGTGTAAATCATAAGGATTTCCACAGAAAATCTGACTTAGTTGTGTTGACTTCAAGAATGATAACACTTCTCATGGCCAAAAGGGCTATTGCCTCCTACTGTATTGTTAATGCAAAAAGATAAGAATTGATTGGGTTGACTAATTAACTTACCAATGTCCAAGCAAGCTTCAATGTGGCTGAAAATGTTGGTATGAAAAAGGGAGATTGATTCTGGGCCAAAGACTGAGCACAGAGACTGGATTTTTCCTTTACCATGACCTAGAACTTGTTGGAGTGATCTAAATGGTGAAAGGGTGGACAGAGGATTTAGGATTGAATGGGTACTCTCTCGTGTTTGCCTTTGTGTATGCGTGCATCTGCATTAGTCCATGCGGCATGGTGACCTTTCAAACTGCATGATGATCTGCCTACCAAAAAATAATGCAAATTCTATTTCATTTTTGCTCAACTGAACTCATTTGGAAAAAAGCTTAAAATGTCTACATCGCCTTTCTGCTACTACAGGTTTCAGCTTTGCTGGGGATGCAAACTCATGGGTAAAACTACAGTCACCTAGCAAATAAAGGGGTGTCTGTCAATGCCATTTTTCAAGAAAGCCACCCCCCAAATAAAAACAAGGCTTTGTAAAAATATACTGATCTTGTATGGCAATTTCTATTGTCCTATAATTGCATGTGAGAGTTGTTAAGAGAACCTGTCCTCATCAACCCTGAAAGCTGTAGTAATTCAAATGACTCCTTACATAATTGAATCTCCTTCTCAGCTCTGCTTTTTCCTCAAGGACCATGCTGTTTCTCAGTTGTGAAGAAGCCTGATCATGAAGAAAATGGTTTATGTGTTTTTCTCTCTAAAATTGCAGGGTACTCCAGGACCAATTGGAGCTCCAGGACCAGCAGGACCAAAAGGGGAAAGGGTAAGTTAGCTTTAAAAGACACACACACACCCCTCCCCAACTTCTTCAAAGTTTTATGGACGGTGCCAGCTGCTACTGTTTCTGAAGTACAGTAATTGCAGCTCCTTCCAGAAGTTGGGACTTGGCTCTTTGTGACTTTTAAGCATTTTATATTTTGGCTTTTTTCTGTACGGCAACTAGAGGTCCTGAAATGGGTGCCCTCTGCATTATTTTCAGAAGTGTTCATTTATCCATCTGTGCCCAGCCTGTTAATGGATATGTCTATACTTCAAGCTGGAAGTATGGATTACAACATGGGGAGACATACCCAGGCTAGCTCTGATCGAGCTAGCCACTAGAAGTAGAGTGTAGCCATGGTGGCACAAGTGGCAGGAGGGGCTAGCTACTCCAAGCATTTACCCACCAAGATGCTATATACATACTTGGGCAGCTGGGACCTCCTTCTGCTCGTACCACTGCAGCTACACTCTTGTGAGTTGAACCTCCAGATCAAAGTGTATTTGTACCCCATACTGTATACAAAAATAGAAAAAAATTTCTCTTTCGTCTCTATTTTAGGGCAGTAAAGGTGACCCTGGAAATGCAGGACCAATGGGGCTAGCTGGGCTTCCTGTAAGTATTGAAGTCTCTAAATTGTCTGCTATCCATGAAGCTTTCACCTTCCAACAGCAGCATACTCTGCTGCAGTGGGAGAAAATGTTCTCTCACTGACATATTAATGCCAAAGTGTAGCTGAGGAATTTGTACAAATAATGGTACATGGAAACCCTGGTTTTATTTTTCAAAGTAAGAGTCCCAGTCCCAGCGCCCTCAGTGATATTATTTAAATAATTCAAATACTTTAAAACAAATAATAGAAAAATAATTAGTCTAGCCAGCAGAACAATATAAAGAATAAAATATGTAACAGTGTAGATCCTGAATTTACTGGGTAAAGTAAGCCATGCTTAGACTATTCATGTGTTATACTAAGGTGCTATTACTGAACATATCCATTCCAAGTGTTTACTTTTCTGAACTGAACACCAGCCTTCCAAAGGCTGACAAGACAGAATTGGGGCCCTGTTTTGGAACCCTAGTCACGCAAGTAGCCTTCAATGGGACTATTCACATGATCAGGGTTTATTCATGTGCTTAGCGGGTGTAGGATTGGAGCTGTAGCTTTAGATGATCACACACTATCTTTATTTGAAAATGGAAATGAAGAGGTTAGTTTATTTGCTGAGTTTTTGTCTGAAGAATTATTTTGACTGAGTAAACAAAGGGACCAGTTTGGCTGACATTTTTTTTCTTCTTACTGATCTATTTTAGGGTTTACAAGGCCCATCTGGTGACAAAGGACACCGGGTAAGTCAGGAACCAAACTTCCTGCATTTGGTTACTAATGTCTTTATGTGGTGGTGGAATGATTAATTTCTGAATTACCTGGAAAAAAAACAGATGAATTCCTACATGTTAAACCCTTATAAAGCAACTTACAGTTGTGTAATTTACAGTGTGATGGCTGTAGTTATACAATGCACCATAACCAAAGACATCATCATTCAAACACTAAAGCATACCCGCTGTATTTTCAGAAGCACTCAGTGGTGGCCTCTCTCTGTTCTCACTGAATGAGGCCAATGCAGAGTGCTTTTGAAAATCCTACCTTAATATGCTTAGTGAGATGTGCAGGGATGTAAACCAGACAATTCCCACTAGTGGTAATAACGGCGGTATAGCTAAATCTTGTCACATGGTACTCAAATTCCCCTTGATGCGAAAAAGAATGTCAGCCACTTTATTGCAGCAAAATGTTTTCCAAAATTTCCAGAATTACATCATTTTTTCAACCAAACATGGAAATCTGGAGAAGAAATTAAATATGACTATATTAAAGAACCCAATCATGCAGTCTTAGACTCCATACTCAGGCTTTGACTTGAATTGGTATAAGACTGCAGAGCCAGGTCCTAAGAAAAGCAATAGATTATGTTAATTGCTGACAATCTTTTTTACATCATGTGCCTGTGTTATAAAGAAATAAACTATACCAAAGTGTACATATTTATAAGATTTTTTTATATTAGGATTATTAGTGATCTGAATCCTTTGATAAAAACAATAAAGAGATACACAGTTGAGAATAGTTTATTCACTTGATAGATATAGATTCTCTTTATAAGGCTCTGATGCCATATGCAAGCATTTCAGAAATAGACTAAAGCTGTGATGGAATATGTGCCAAAGCAGTAATTGTATGAGAGAAATATATTTGCTGATAACATCGGGCGAGTGCTGTCTCTCCTTCCTTATCATCTGGAGTGCTCCTCTGATTCTATGTTGGACAGACTAACAATTTTGAAAAATGCACTGCCAGTCAGCATCTTAAACAAGGAGAGACTATTCCAAATTTCTTGAAATTCATGGCAGCTCCAAGGTGCTGCTACCTTTTAATCATTCCACTTCTGGTTTTGCTCTTTAACCTCCTCTTTATTTTATTAAGGTTTTTTTTTCTGAATAAGACATAAGCTTAACAAGATCTTTATTTAGACTTTTTCAGTTGGCTTTAAATCTGGATAATGTATTTAGAGGATGGGTCTTTTGTTGGCTCAGTAGGAATCAGTTTGGGTTAACGTGGCTTCACTGTTCTCCCTCACATAAAAATAACTGACGAGTGGGAAGAACAGCAACTTTCATAGATGATGAGAGGGGAATGTCACAGTCCCCTTGAAATAAATATTTGGCTGAAATGCAACAAATGTTTTGAAACAAAAATGTTTGCGTAAACTGAGTTTGTGAATGGGCAAATACTGTAGCTTTTCAGGTCTGATCCACCAAATACATATTTTATCACTAACAATTTAATTAAGGGCTCCTCCTCAGCCCACAGTCCTTTTAACAAATTATTAAGTGGGCCACTTATTAGAGTAACTGAGGAATTAGAGTCAATTTTACTTTAAAAATTTTAAACTTCCCATAGCAAACGGCTTTGTCCGATGCCCCAGTCTAATTGACATTCTTACAGATATCTCACAAGCTCCATTATACAGAAATCTGGAGACTTCTGTGTGCTCAAATTCATTGTCAGGCCACCAAATGGTCTCTCTCATTAGCCAAACTGTTTAGTCACCAGAAGTTTGCTCTCCTTTCCCATAGCCCAGGCTTGACCATAGGCTATGGCACTTTCATACCCATTTATGGGAGACATGCCACAGTAATGAAAGGACATGGACTTCTTCAGGCACCAATGTTTTTTATTTTGATCCTCTGAGATGGACTCCCTCTGACAGGAGACCTGGAACAGAGAGCTTTAACAACTGAATTCAAACACCTGCCTTGAGTTTGACACATTTTCTTGCTGGAAGAGAAGCTGTTATTTAAAAATCTTTTTAATAGTAGGTACTAGTAACAGCCATGGGCTATTAATAAGATGTATGCCCATACATTGTGATTAACACATTGAAAATTGGTTCTGAAGTGCCCACCCCATTCCCTGCAGTAATTCGACAAAAATCCCCTTCACAGGCCTTTCAGTTGCAAAAGACAGAACCCTGCCTTTTTATGCGCTGGATCTTTTCTGTGGAGCACAGCCCTTTGTTCTTATGTCACTGTAGGATGTATAATAATAGCCTTCAAGATCCGGTGCAGTCATGAAAATAGTGTGCGATGTTACAACTGAAATGTTCCTGGAACATGACAGCCTTGTGGATAACCCAACTGAAAAAGTATAAATGCTGAAAGTGTGCATTAAAGCTAAATTCTTCACTTTTTTTATAATATCTATTTTTTTCCTTCTCCTGTCTGTGTGTTCGTATGTATTCCTTGCTTCTACAGGTCCACCTTTGTCCCCTTTATCCCTTCCTCCTCTTCTGCCTTTTTTCCTGGGTCCTTCCTCCTCCCTCCACTACAACCCATTCCACGTTTTCTCCTGGATTATCCTCTCTCTGTTCCAGTGTTTGATCCTGGGTGATTTCTCCTAGTTACCTCTATCCCATCCATTTCTTTTGTCAGCTTGTAATTTATTTTGTCTAAAACCTTTTACTTTTCTTTTTTTAAATCTATACCTGTGCTGCCTGATTTTATTGCCCCTTCTAATCCTTACCATCTAGACACTAAAGAAAATTCCCTCTTCAGCCATCCCACTTACATTGTATCCTCAGCAGCTTTGAAAAGTTCTGCTCTTTTAAAAATATAATTAATATGAAGATATTTTGTAAATATATTTTCTTGTAAATATCAAGGCCTATCCTGATGTTGACCTGCACTTAGAATTTTTATTTAATTCAGTGTGAACTGAGGGTGAAATGTACCCTGTGCAGAGGGCCAGCGGGAGACCTGCTCACTATTTAAGATCCACTTATGCCCTGTTTTTACACAGGCTTTATGCTGGCCCTCTGCACAGGGATGCATTTCATTCTGTGGGTGTGATTCTTTTCTCACGGACCCCAATGTAAATCAGGAGTAACTCCACTGAAGTCAGTGGAGTGACACTGACTTAAACCAATTTTATACCAGAGAAAACTCAGACCCTCTCTGCACAAAACAACGGCAATATCAGGCTAATTCATTTGCTAAAATTAAAGCTGTGACCGATACAGACCTACCTTTGTTAATCAAGAAAGAGAGATTTTTTAAAAGTACAGCATTTAAATAAAGCAGTGGAAAATGCTTACGTAAAACATATGGTATTTTAAAAATCATTTAGGAGAATGCATTTAAAATTACTTGTTATGTTATTATAAACCAGAAATACTTTTGGGGGAAGGACAAGGAGAAGTATAAAGGAAAACAAGTGTAAAACTAATTAATTGGTAATTAGGTCCAAGGGTGTGACAAAACAGGAGAGCCAGACTTGGAATCAAGCGGCCAGTATCTTGTTCCTTGGATCAATGGAGCTAAGAAGTGACACACTTGGGCTCCTGAGCCAGGCTTAGGACCACTCAGTGTTCAAACATCTCCTAGCCTGGGGGGGCCAACCTGAGCCTGAGAAGGAGCCAGAATTTATCAATGTACATTGCCAAAGAGCCACAATAATACATCAGCAGCCCCCCCCATCAGCTCCCTCTCCCCACCCCCGCCGCTCCCAGTGACCGGCAGCCCCTCCGATCAGTGCCTCCTCCTCCCTCCCCGTACCTCTCGATCAGCTGTTTCCTGGCATGCAGGAGGCTCTGGGGGCAAAGGAGGAGGAACGAGGGCACAGCAGGCTCAGGGGAGGGGGCGGGAAGGGGTGGAGTGGGGGCAGGGCCTGTGGCAGAGCCAGGGGTTTGAGCAATGAGCTCCCCCCGGCACATTGGAAATTTGGCACCTGTAGCTCCAGCCCTGGAGTCGGTGCCTATACAAGGAGCCGCATATTAACTTCTAAAGAGCCTCATGTGGCTCCGGAGTCACAGGTTGGCCACCCCTGTCCTAGCCAGTCTGCGGAGTGTAGGGTGACCAGATGTCCCGATTTTATAGGGACAGTCCCGATTTTTGGGTCTTTTTCTTCTATGGGCTCCTATTACCCCCCACCCCCTGTCCTGATTTTTCACACTAGCTGTCTGGTCACCCTAGCGGAGTGGTATTAAGTGTCACTCTCCTGGCTGGAGGAGTCCCCAGTGCAATCCCATCTACAAAGTTCAGGGGGTGACAGTTCATTTAATACAACGGTGGGGTCAGAATCCTTATCAAGACAATTGCTGAAGTGCAATACATGCAAATAAAAAATATCAATAAATCCACAAAAGGCTTTCCTATAAGAGCAACTTAACTGAAGGAATTTCCTTTTTTACAATATTTTTCTAGAAGTTTATTTATTTATTTTTTTAACTATCTCTGACATTTATTTGAAATGGATGATCCTAAAGCTTTTGTGTATTTTTTTCTTGGACTAAACTATTATTTACAGGGGGAGAGGGGCAAGAAAGGCTCTAGAGGGCCTAAAGGGGATAAGGGAGACCAAGGAGCGCCTGGATTAGATGCACCCTGTCCATTGGTATGTTCTGTTTTATAAAATGTTTTATTTTAAGATTTGTCAATGAGGAAGAAAGAAGGAAAACTTAAAGTAAATGATGGACATAAAGAGCACCCTGCTATAACAAAAGTCACATTGCTTAAATAAGGTCCTGCGCTGCTCCAACTGGAGTCTATGGCAAAGCTGTTTTCTTCAGTGTGAGGCAGGAACAGACCCTTAAAGAGCAATTGGGCTATAGAGTGACTTTGGCTTTGGCCCTTTCTTTTCAGGAGCTCAAAAAGGAATGGGTGAAATGGCAGGAGGCTGAGAGCAAAGGGGTTTTACTATGAAAGGAGAACCTTGGAACTCCCATGCCCCCACTTGCGGGTTGTTGTTCTTTGGCAATGTTTAATATCATCACCCTTAAGCAGCGATGAAATCTAAAATGCCTTCTTTTTTGCCTCTGAGCAGTGTCCAGCTGATGTGTTTGTAAGGGAGTCGCTCCTTGATAATGACACAGGGCACCCAGGTTAGGATACCCAGTGGGAAAACAAATTGGTGCGAAATCTGATGGGAGGTACAAAAAATGATCAAGATGGCCATGTCATTCAACATGACATTATCTCACTTCATTGGAAGCCTCTTTACATTTAAAAAGTAGCAAGAATTATCCAAATTATTTTCTAAAATACTAATGGAAAAACATAATGATATATGGCAGCAAGGATTATTTTATATATATCAATCATACCCTAGCTATTAAGGAAGCTCTGTGTGTCTAAAATGTTATCATTGATCTTTATAGTTCACCCCCCAGGTATATTATTTGCTCAAGCTGAAGAGTCACTTGTGTACCACAGTAATAAGTGCAGTGTATATGCCCAGACGGATCCTGCACAGAAGTTATTCTCTTTTGTTTCAAAGTGGGGACAGCAACTGAAGATGATTTCTAAAAACAGAGATCCTCTTCCCACTCTCCCCCAACCAATAGAATCCTCCCAGATTTAACAAAATCAGAAAAGCATCTTCAGACTCACACAGAATATAGAACCGGCATGGCAACCTTTCCTACCGGTTATGTACTAGAAATTCAAACACCGATTATTTATGTACTGGGTATGTAGCTTGAGTGCCCTTTGATTATACCAGTGCGGGACTGGGCCTCTCCTCCCATGGCATGGAGGGGATGGCATTGACTGGAATAATTATAGTGGTTGATTTCATGAACAGGGACTCCGAGGTTTTAAAGGCGAGAAGGGTGAGCCGGGGTTACCTGGGCTGGACGGGCTGGATGCCCCTTGCCCATTGGTATGGTGTTACCTTCCCTTTCCTGCATGCTTCTGTTTGCTTTTCGTTCTTGATTGTTATTTTATGATACTTCCAAATAGTAGCATGAATTGTAAAACTACAGCAGTGGTGCCATCCTTACCAATCTCCATCCTACCTTCCCTCACACGGCTTGCTTCACAATATGACCCATAACACCCTTTGCAGTGAGTCACAGCTGCTACAGCCATCCCTTTGTAGTGTGGGGAGAAATGATGCTCTACCACATTACAGAGTATTAACAGAGTATTGTTCATAACTGCTTCATTTCTTCCTGTAAGATTTCCTTCAGAACCCCTGCTGGACCAATGCTTCGAAAGCTGACCCTCCAATACCTCAACTCTCTATTTGATCATTTGAAATGCTTAAATCCTCCATTAACTCTGCTGGCCAAGTGTGAATACTTGAAAGTAAAGTCTGACTCTCCTCCACACCGCCTATGCACCTCCCACATTTCAAAACAACCTATCAGAATGCAGACATAACTCTCAAACAATCCCTGAGAAACATACCAGTACAGTATTTCAAGTCATCAAGTTTCCAATAACTAATTTCTAATTATAAGAGTGTCCCGAAAAGACTGAAGCACTCCACTCTTATGTCATGACTTAACAAAAGACCTCACCTAAGTCATCTTTCAATCGCTTATGAGCAACATAAATGTCTGGAGGGAAATTATGGATTTTGCAGTGCATTCAGAATGTAAACAAATTTGGGCTCTAATGGAAGAATCTTTCAGAACTGAAGGACCTTCATGGAGAATCCCGTGCCAGCAGCTCCTTCTCTCTTGTGATAAGGGAGTGCCAGCTCAAACTCCTCTTCTGGCCTCAGCTTTGGCAGCAGGCCCAACATTTCTCCTTTCTGTTGTTCTTTAGTGTCTCAGAGAAGGTTACTCTTGACTTGAAGGCTGCCTAGTACATTTCCTGACATCCATCTTACTTGGCTGTTAAAGGGATATTATCATTTTAATGCCCCTTCCTAAATACTGTATCTAACCCAAATATGACAAAGCTGTTCTTGCCATCACACTAAAAAGCATCAGTTTATTCATTTACTCAAAAAAAAAAAACTCAGCTCTAATGCAGTATCTGTTCCTTAGGGTATGTCTGGGAGCATGGGTAGGGCTTATGATAGTGTAACGTCAACCGACCCAGTTGTCAGCAGGCGGGATTGAACCAGGGACCTCTGGAGTTTAGTGCAGGAGCCTCTACCACATGAGCTAAAAGCCAACTGCCTGTTAAGCAGACTCATTAATCTCTCTCTCTAAGTGGTCTCAGTGCCACTAGATGGGACAGAACACCACACCCAGGAGGTGTGTGGGTTACAATAGCACCAACTGAGCTAGTGTGCTGAAAACAGCAGTGTGGACACACAGGTGGCAGCTCAGGCTAGCCACCTAAGTCCAAGCCACCCAAGCAACTGCCTGTGCCACAATGTCCACACTGCTGTTTTTATCCTGCTAGTTCAAGCAGAGCTACTGAGAGTCTGTAAGGTCTAAGGATTTACTAAAGGACAGTCAGTGGATTAAAACTCATGATCCTCCTAGTTTCCATTTCTAATTTGACAAGTCTGGGAACAGCTGTGACAGCATGGGTTGTACAAGCCCACCTGGGAGCCAGGGTATGGATTTGAGCAGCTAGCCTGTGTTGCCTTGGCTTTACTGCTGTTATTCAAGCTAGCTAGACCAAAGCTAGCACAGCTACATATGCTTCAGTCACACCTTTAGTTGCAGGCTAGAAATACCCCAAGAATGTTAGCGCCAAGTCCTACTCGGTGTTACACATGCACAACCACATTTGCAAAAGGTATGACCATAATCAGCTCATTTGACCTTCTTGGACCATAGACAAACTAATGGAAAATTATGTTTAAAAAAAAAGGGGGGGTGGACTTTACTGAGATACAGTTGCTGCATCTGAACTGAGTTTTTCCTGAGTAAATAAATACAGTGGTTGCCATTAAAATCTTTACAATTTTGCCTTTGCAAGTAGCTAATGTTACTGTCACTCCACGTATTCCCTGCAGTTTGCACTTCAATTTTCTTTGCATAGTGAATAATTGAATACTTCTGTAATAATAGCCATCTTCAAAGGCCAAACTGTAAAGATTTTAATGGAAACTCCTATTCTGTGAATACTGGGTAAATAAACAAATTCTGCCCTCATTCACACATGTGATCTCAGAAGCTTAAAATGCAAAAGAACTGTTCAGTCAACTAGTTCACCTCCTGCAACTGCTAGTCACTTCTATACTGAACATTCCTAAATTGTATAAAACACTCTGAGAGCATCTCTAAATAAAAGGATTCTTCCACTACCCTGGAAGACTAGTTTATCTTCTCTGGCACTACTCCTTCCAACTGCAAATTGCACTGCAGGGCAGCAGCATAATGTATGTCTATTTCATGACTATTTTTGTTATGGGAGACAGGCCAGGAAATCTGGTGAAATGAAAATGCCAACAATATACAGTATTCTGGCATCCAAGCCTGTTTGAGACATTAAATAAGCATGTTTGTTGACCCAAAACTGTTAACACTTACTTCTGCCTGGCATTCTGTTGACACAACTTACTTCCATGCAGGATCTGCACAAATGTATGGAGTCTGAACTAATGCAAATCTGAAATATGGGAATCTAATGACTCATTACTAATAAGCATGTCCCACCTCCCTCCCTCTGCAAACTAGCCTGCAACAAACACTTCCTTGTGACCCTGTTCTTCCTTTGATCCCTAAACCATAACTCTCCAGCCTCCTGTTCCTTTACACACCTAACTTTCCATTTCCTCCTGCAATCCACTACACAATTCATTCCCCACCACCACCAGCCTACCAATGGGAATGCACTTCTTCCCCAGTAAAGGATCCATAATCATTTATTTCCACAGTCCTGCAGCCTGGGGGAGGGAGCATTGCTGGGAGGCTACATTAAGAGAAAGGACTTTCTGTCATCACCCAGTGATATTTGATCCATCAAAGTTGCTTATCCATGTACTTCAGTTAACTAGCTTCTCTCTCATTATAACCTTGTTCATTTTCTTCTCTTTGTTTTTTCTTTTCTTTTTAAAAAATGAGATGGTAAGCTGTGGAAACGTCTCCTACAATAGTTAAGAAGCTAAGAATAAACTAATTTGATTGAAGAAAATGGGTCCAATTCATCCTTTGTATAATTTCATTGACTGCAGTAGAGTTACATCAGGAGTGTATATGACCCAATAGCTTGAACTGTTAGAGCAGTTGTAGGCATCTTCTATAAGGATTTGATTGAACTGTCTAACTATCAATGGCCTAACTTGTTAGGTTAGGCTGTTTACCTGTTTATTATCCCAGTAATATCTCCCCACCATCCTCTATTGCCTGTTTAACAAGGCTGGTTAGTGCTGATCTGAGTAGAATTAACGATAACAATTCACGAAAATTCATCTACCAGTTACCAAGACAAAGGTCACCCTGTTTGTTTACTTTCAGTATCCAAATGTTTACAGGATACAAAACTTTTTCAAAATAAAAACGCTCTAAACCTATATAGGGATGTCTGATCCTGCAATCCTTTAGTGCAGGATCCTGCCAACTTCAAAAGGAATTCTGCACAAGAAAGGCTTGAAGGTTTGGGCCATGTGAGAATACAGGCCTAATCCCATCCATTTTGTTGAGGCAAAATGCCTATATGGCCAGCTATTCAGGATGCCACAAAGGGGTTGTAAAGCTGTCTTAAAGGGGCAGCTAAAGATTCCTTCATGGTAGAGGAATCCTTATCTGGTGTGAAGCCAACTCTACTACTCCACCTCCCAGACTCTCTCAGTGTAGGAACATGTTGGGGCAGAAGGAATGTGACTGGAGTGGTCTGCATTCCAGCAATCCCTACAAACATAATGGCCCCAAGTAAGCTATTGCCAGCCAGCACAATTAAGAGTACCTGAGGCTGCTCTAGGTTATCCCAGGGGTTGAATTGGTCCTGGTTGTACCCAGGATTAGGGGTAGGTAAGAAAGAAAGATAGTGGAAAACAGCCCTTTTAAAGAAAAGTGCACCCATTTTCCTCAGTCCAGAGCTCTAACTACCACCTGGTAGTAAGCATTTAAAATAATTAGGATTTTAATTAGGTTGAGCATGGCAGCAGCCATCTTGATGAAAAGTGACAGCAGAAGTAAGGGAGCCTGATGTCAAAGACCAAATACATTTTCAATCAAATTTATAGATGTTATAGTTAACATTAAAAACAAACTTTTGCATTTAGATATGAAATATTTTGCTTCATTATTAAACAGTTAAGTTCCTGTTGTGACAGTGAAATAAGCTTTCAAAGCAGGGTGAAATCAGTTTTATAATCCATTCTCCCAAATCAGTGTCCCATGCCACCACTATAGAAATTGAGCAAAATGGAGGCAGTAATTTCTTTTAATATATTCTCAGAGCCTCCATCTGGATGGCATTGATTCTGGGCTTCACCCCAACACTAAGGGATTAGCCAGCCGCACCAGAAAAACACTTTGCATCCATTTCAAACCAGCACTGAAAATGCCTCAATCCCACACTACGCTGTGCTTTTTGTGGGGAGTGAAAACACTTTAAAAATGGGCCAATTGGGCCAAGATTATCTGTACAGTAACTCCTCACTTAACATTGTAGTTATGTTCCTGAAAAATGCGACTTTAAGCGAAATGATGTTAAGCGAATCCAATTTCCCCATAAGCATTAATGTAAATGAGGGGGTTAGGTTCCAGGGAAATTTTTTTCACCGGTGTATGTGTGTGTGTATATATATATATATATATATATATATATACACACACACACACACACACACACACACACACAGTATAAGTTTTAAACAAACAATTTAATACTGCTACAGTCATGATGATTGTGAAGCTTGGTTGAGGTGGAGGAGTCAGAGGGTGGGATATTTCCCACGGAATGCCTTACTGCTAAATGATGAACTAGCAATTGGCTGAGCCCTCAATGGTTAACTCTCACACTCTACAAAGCAGCAGGAATGGAGGGAGGGGAGACACCGTGTGAGAGAGAGAGATGCGCATTTCCCCTTTAAGTATGCTGACCCTACTCTTAAGTACGCTGCCTTGTTAATTAGATCAGCTTGCTGAGACTGCAGCTGCTGCCAGCAAGCTCCCTCCATCCTGAGCCCTGTTGTGTGTGTCACCTGCTCTATGGAAGATGGGGTAAGCGGGGTGCAGGAGCAGGGGGGAGAGGGACACCCTGATAGCACTTCCTGCAAACAGTGGACAAATCAGGCAGCTGTCAAATGATGTTAGAAGGGAGCATTGCACAAACTTTAAATGAGCATGTTCCCTAATTGATCAGCAACGTAACAACGTTAACCGGGACGACTAAGTGAGGAGTTACTGTATCTGTCCTGTTACTATAGTAATAAAATTTATATTATGGTAGTGCCCAAACATCCCACTCTAGTATGCCCAAACACAGATAAAGAGGCAGTCCCCACTATGAACACCTTGCAATCTAGAATCTTCAAAATTGTTTAAAGTACCAAACCATATCCTGAACTGGTGTTCTAACAAATCTGCGACTGCCACACCTTTTTCTTTGTGCCCTATATGCTGTATAGGGTTTGCCAGTGCCCCTATTTGTATCTCCTTTCTTGCTATTGAAGAATATCTACAAATAGAATAAAAGTGTCAAGCAGTGCAACACAGAGATTTCTGATGTCTCAGCAGATTTGACACAAGGGATTTCTTGACATTTAGAAATAAGGACCATACAGCCAAGACATAAGAAAGCGTAACTCCCAATGAAATTTGCTCAAGTGGACAAAGTGACCATTCTTCACTCAATGCTAAAGCCAGCCCAGATAAATGAAAATATTTTCTAGACATTCCTGCAAGTCCAGATGTTAGTGCAGCGTTTGTGATCCGCTTTGCTGTATGTTGTCAGGAATGGCACGTCACCTACAAATTATGACATGGAATCACGCATGACAACATAACCAGCAAGTTCATGTCTCCCACTGCCAACATCCTGATACGTTTTACTCCTGAATTGCAGCTTTTATGTTTCCCTCTTCAAGGAAAACAGGGCCAAACACATTTTCTGAGCAGAACTAGAGCATATATTCATAACCCTGCAGCCTAATACCCATCAACAGGAAGCCTGTGTGTGTTCCCTGCACAACACAGACAAATTTCCCTCTTGAATCTCTGGTTTCGGATTGAACCCTAACCAGGTCTTTCAGCCAGAAAAATGGGTCACCCAAAACAGAAGGGGGGAAATTATATATATTAGGACATTCATCTCAGCCCAACTCAGACTTAAAATGTTTGTTGCAGCTATATTAGTTAACCCTTTCCTTCCTTCCGTTTGGCTTTGTCTCCTGATCCTAAACTGTGTTTGTTTCCTTCTTTGTTGTAGGGGGAAGATGGCTTGCCAGTTCAGGGCTGCTGGAACAAGGTAAAATAATCTTGGAACTTCTATGACTGTGCTGAATTAAAGGTGTTGATGCATTTTGCAGAAGCTTTTCTGTGAGTCTTTCTAATAACAAAACAGATGTGAAAAGCATGCAGTGGATTTTCAGTGCCAATGCTCATGGCAAGCAAGGACCAAAACTGTCCATTTGATTTATCCAATAATACACAAATAAAATAGGTTAAAAATGATGGAATTCTATTGGCAACCCTGAATATTCCAGGCTTAAAAAATATCTTATAGTGGCACAGAATCAAAACTCATTAGCTGTGTTATATTCCTACATATCAATATATTATTAGTAAATAATCCTTTTATCCATAGATCTCAAAGTACTTTGCAAAGATGGGTAAGCACAGTTATCCCCATTTGGGGGGAAACTGAGGCACATAAAAAGCCAACATTTTGAAAGTGGAGTGCCTAATATTAAGCACCTGAATCCATTTTAGGCACCCAAATAAAGGTAATTGATCTGATTTTCAGAGGTTCTAAACACCTGCAGATCTAGTAGATGTAAACTGAGTTAATCTGGAGTTACTGGTGTAAATTGAAACAGAAATCTCTTATATGTGGTTGGGTTGTTGTTTTAAATTGTTATTACAGCCAATCCAGCATGCTAAGATAAAAAACAAGACAAATAAACTAAAGCTCCAAATTTCCTTCCAATAACCTTCTGCCTGGGTTATAATTAGCATACAGTACTTTATGTTTTACAACTGAGGAGGTTTTAAAAGCTCTGAAGGGAACAGTACAGCTGGGATTTTCACAGAGCCTAAAGGAGTCAGACATATAACTCCCATTGACTTTCAGTAGGAATTGGGTACTTAACTCCCTTAGTCCCCTTTGGAAATTCCAATCTAAAGATATAATGATAATTCAAGCTCTAGTGCTGTGATCAGCTCTAATGCTGTTTATAATATTGACTGGGAATTTCAGGTTTTAGTCCTGGCTGTATAAGGTGTAACATGATTCAGTGGCTGGAAGTTGAAGCTAGACAAATTCAGACTGGAAACAAGGCATACATTTTAAACGGTGAGAGTAATTAAACATTGGTACAATTTACCAGGGGGTGTGGTGGATTCTCCATCACTGAAACTTTTTAAATCACGATTGGATGTTTTTCTCAAGGATCTGCTCTAGGAATTATGTTGGGGAAGTTCTATGGCCTGTGCTATACAGGAGGTCAGACCAAATGATCACAATGTCCCTTCTAGCCTTGGAATCTATGGATCTATGTTCAACTGAAATACTCTGTAGCCTTGGACAAGTCACATGGGACCTAATATTCAAAACCTGCCTCTAACTTTGGGTGCCCAACTGTAGACATCTCAGGCCTGATTTTTCAGTGCTGCTGAGCACCTGCAACTCTCATGCATTTCACTTGCAATTGTAGGTGTTTGGCACCACTAAAATTTAGGCCCTTGGTTTCTAAATTAAGACATCCACAATTGAAGGATTCTAAGTCCTTTTCTGATCATTTAGGTCTTAACTTCAGTGTGTTCATGAAAAAAAGGGGTGTATTATCTACCTCACAGGGCACTTTGAAGATCAATTAATTAACTGATTTGTAAAGTGCTTTGAGCTCTTTGGATAAAGGTTGCTGTTTAAGTGAAAAATAGAATTACTATGCCAAATCCTGGCCCGAGTGTATCCAGGATGGAAAGCGCTCAAACTCTATGGTCTGCCTGAGCTTTGCAGTCATGACAGTTTGTGCTAATTCTGAAAGGACACGCTACCTGAGGCAACTCAGAGCCCTTACAAGGCTGCCCAAAACCTATCCCATCCCAGGGATACTCCCCCCAACCAAGTCCTTGAGGAGGACATCAAAGGAGGCACTGAGACCATGCAAGATGATGTCCAAGAGGAATAGGTATGACCCCCTCTCCCCCAAGCAGGCTGACAGCTATGCAAGAAGAAATTTACATCTTCGAAATGGAAATATCAGATGGAAATATAGGGGCTCCCTGACCTGAAGATTCCAATCAATGATCGACTCTCAGACATGCACTTACACAAACCTTGTAATAACATGTTTTCTTTAAAGAAAGACAGCATAGAAACCTATTCAGGTCCCTTCTTTTCCCTTCATTTTCTGCAGTTCAGCTGCATAGGAGTTCTTGATGCCCTATAGCCATTTCAGGCTTATGCATCCATCAGTGCCACTCTTCAGGTTCTGGGTCATTATTATTAGTATTACCTGTTGTTTACATTAGTGCAGAAAGCAGCTCCACAAACAGCAATTTCAATAGGTAAGGTGGGGCTGAGGCGGGTGGAGAGTCATCCAACATTGTACCCCCTCCTTCCCACAAATGAAAATGGTCATTCCTGAGGTTCTTGATTGCTTCCTCAACTGCTGTGTGTTCTGGAGCATGCTCAGATAACAAGGTCCCCTCAGCTGTGTTTCCCTCCATTAAGAAATCCTTGCAGCTGTTTGAATTGTGAAACTAACACAGGTTTATGTTTTCTTTTGCAGTGATGGTTCTAACCATGGACTGGCCTGTGTGTGTTTTGTACATAGAATATTTATTTTTATACAATGTTCTTTTCTGAAATGCCAAGAAGTTATACATTTTACAAATTATCAAAAGCTACATATATTTTGTACAGAAAATACTAAATTGCCCTTTTTCTGTTTGTCAGTCCTTTATATAATTCTGTGTCTATATTATGCTTATATTGTTGTGGAGTCCAGCTGTAATATTTGCATGATATTTGTGCACACTTGATAAGTATTGGAACTTAATAAATTATTGCATTCAGGTGCCAAAAGGAACTGCCCTATATAGATCTGAAGGTCATTTCCCTTGCCAAATCGGGAGAATTAAAGAATATTTGAAGTGTTATGGATTTTATTATTAAAATGAAATATGACAATGTTACCTTTTTGTGAATAAACTATGGTGTTGCTGGGGAAAGCCTGGGGCAGCCAGCAGTGCTATTAAAATGAGGGACTTCTATCTTCTGTTTATTACATCAATTTAGAGCATAAGGGCTTTCTTACTCAGTTTGCCATATCCTAGTGCAACCAAACCACCACTAGAGGACACTACTGGTGCTATTTTAACAAAGGTGCCCATTCATCAGTGAGGATGTTTAGGCAGCAAAACATGTACAAACATACAGAATCTGTCTTAAACTCTTGTAACTAGTTAAGATGGTATGTCTCACATTACCAGTTAGCCACCAGCATTTGTGATTATGGCACCAGTCCAGCAAGGTACTCAAGTACCTGTCTAATTTTAAGCACAAATAGTCCCCTTAAAGTCAATGGAACTATGCACATTCTTAACATTAAGTAGTCGCTTGAATGCCTTGATGAATAGAGACCTAAATGAATACTTACTGTACATACAAATACACATTTAGTGTCAAGTATCAGGGGGTAGCTGTGTTAGTCTGTATCCACAAAAACAACAAGGAGTCCGGTGGTACCTTAAAGACTAACAGATTTATTTGGGCATAAGCTTTCGTGGGTAAAAACCTCACTTCTTCAGATGCA